CTTCTGCACCTCGGCACGTACGTTGGTCCCCCCGATGCAGGCGTGACAGGAGGCACCCATGTAATCTCCTAACGCCATGACTACCTTCTGTATCTAGACCCAGAAAGAAGTGCCCGTGCGTTAACTGTGACCGTGCCAGGCCCCATTTAAAACGCTTCTGACGTAATGCTCTCCAACTCAGACATGCACCATTAAACTCACTTTTCAGGCAAGAAACAGGCAGATACTTCACTTAAGATCACACTGCCAGTAAATGACAGGCTCAGGTTTGAGCTTGGTCTGGCTCCTAAGAACACAAGGATTCACAGTAACCGCCCTTCTAAAAGCCACCAACGACCCATTTCATTTGATCTCATAGCAACCAGTTTTATGAACAAAATGCCATCTACCTGCGTCCTATTGCACTCCTGCCACAGAAACTGTGCTAGGGGAGACATTCACTCTAAAAAAAAAAAAAGCATCTGCACACACACGAAGGCCCTCTGGAGTTCTAGAATTCTGCTTTGCTTGCACTACATTACCTTTGTTCGCAGTTAGCACAGAATCATCCTGATTTTTCCACAGAACTTTTCTACTTAAAAGAGACTAGCATTTCTGACCTTCTTCTCCAAGACCCAGGAAAACAGTCTATCGTTAGGATTTTGTGTACCCCAGGCATGAAACAGCTCTGGCCACCAACCCAGGCATCAAGCTAGGATGAACAAAGAACTGTCCGTCTGCTTTGCCCCTGGCTGATACAAGAGCACCACCACCACCAAGGGGTCTCTCTGCCCATTGCCAGGGTCTGTTCATCAACAGCTGCCAAACTTGCCCGGCCAGCCAGGCTCCACCTCGCTGCCTTTTCATGTGACTCAGGAAATGGGTGGAGAAAATAATGCTTATTGTGTTTGGGTAAGAAATGGCTTATAATTAGCCCTAACAAGCCTTCAGAAATCCGGAAGTCCTTGGCTTATTTTCTCTACTTTTACATGGTGGTCCCTTTCTTCCCCCCGTGCTTCAGTTCTGCTGAGCTGGTGGCCCTTGCGGAGGACACCTCTGATTTTTTTGATTATGCTAATTATTTCTAAAAAGCATTCCTTCAAGAGAGGAGTTAGGAAGCTGCATGCTCACCTGCTGAGCCAACTCCCTAGTAGGTGCCAGGACCAAGGCCTGCGTAGCCTTTAGATCCAATTCAATCTGTTGTAGAATCGATATGGCAAAAGTGG